AATACACGATGTTCACAGAGTTGAAATCATAGCCGGGATCAGTTCTTTTGAGGGTGAAATGGCTCCACATTAGTCCAGTGCCTCACCTGTGATAGCGATCACACCAGCACCATAGTTTAATAGAACTTTAGATGGTTTTCAGGTTTTTGCTATTGCTGCACTGAATTCATCATTATTGTCCTCCAAAAACTTTTCTTCCTGGAGATTATTCTCTCTTTGTACTGACTGGATCAAAGACCACAATGCCTGTGCGGCTCTTTCTCCTTGTAGTCAGGTGGGGGTCGGGTTAACGTGGTCACTAAACACACTTCTGTTTGTCCGTGTGGCTTCTAGGTTACTGAGGAAACCAGCCTCATCCTGCAGACGCTGGGATACACGTGCACGTGTCGAGGAATCATCAACGTGAAAGGGAAGGGAGACCTGAAGACGTACTTTGTGAACACAGAAATGTCCAGGTCCCTCTCCCAGAGCAACCTGGCATCCTGAGGAGTGTCCCTCCTTTTGGCCAGAAGACTGTGTTTCGAGGAAGGTACCGCGTACTTTCAGACTGCAACTCGCGTCCCTATTTTTGATGTGCGTGCTCTGTTCTGTCCTCTGGAGCCTTTGCAGACTAGTTCCTGTGACCCAGTGGCATACCGTTTGGTGTCTGACGTGTGCCCAGATCGTTCTGCCACTTGCACTGTGCTTACTCCTAAGCAAAAGGAAAAAGGAGCCCGCGTGATAGAAGCGAAAGCAGACAAAGAACTAACAGAGGAGAGAGGTGAAACAAACAAAAATTCTTAAGGCAATAAAACTAGGGGGTGTATATTATCTTCTGGTGCATGTTCTTTTCTGGAAAAATGTGGTAGCTTGCCAAACGCATCCGCTAGTCTGATATTCAAACACAGTATTTGTGAATAAGTTGATTCTGTCGCCCCACACGGGGTCTGTGCTCACTCACTAGTCCCGTTGCCAGTGGCCGTCCAGAGGCCTCACCGGGACCTGTAACTCTTGTCCCTTTGCCCTGTGTCTCATGCCAGTGGCACGTTGCCATCCATCACCAGAATTAGTCCTCACAGCCTAGGACCAGTTTTGTACCAAACTCGTCTGATGTTTTGACGCCATTTGTCTTTTGTAAAGTTAATTCATTAAAAGTTTTATGTACTTTGATTTAGAGTGTCTGCATTTTTGTTTTCCTTTCTTCTTTCTCATGTGGTTTTCTGCAGAATTAAAGTCTGTGTTTCATCTGCTCTCCCCTCTGACAGTTGCTTCAGAAAGAGCTCTCCAAAAGCCCCTAGTGAGACCTGGTTAAAAAATTCAATCAGGACAAAGTGCGTGATGCCAATAGTAGATCACACAGCTCTCTGGAAGGCCAGAAAACACAGTCCGTGTACCTGGTGGTCTGAGGTTAATTGTTGTGTTTCTGTAGAGAATGTTGTTCCTGTCTATAGAGTGCCTTGCTAGAGCCACCAGACACAGACGCACGCACGGAGTATAACTGGGAAGCAGCCGTGCAGATTAGTAATCGCAACAATGTGAACAAAACCAGAGACCTGCTGAGCTCCGCGAGCTGCCAGCTGTGTCTGAGAAGGCTGAAGATGCAGAATCAATGTTGCGTGTTTTGTGTTTTTAAGATAGAAGGCCGAGGAGAATTTGTTCTTATAAATCCACGCTGAAGTAGTTTGAGTTTTTTCTTTTCTTTTAACATAAATCATACTTTGCCAAATGGTGAAAAACAGAGCAATCATGTGTGATCCAATGTTTCCAAGCAAAACTGCAAATAACAGCCCTGTCAGGCAACCTTGGTTTCTTCCTATAGGTAAAGGCAGGTGCCCATGAAAGGCAGAGCACCCCAGTGAACTCTTAGGGGGCAGTCGGTAAGTGGGAACTCGGGCACCAAACTTGAGGCACCAGCCCCCAGTTTGACTCCTGCTCTGACTTTTACTAGCTGTGTGCCTTCAAACACGTCTCTTAACTCCACCTAGGAGTTTTTTTTTTTCACAATGGTAGCGCATATGATCAGGTGGTGATGAGATGAACTAATGATTGAGGGAGAACCTGGCAGGTCTGGGGGACCCAGCAGGGGTCAGCATTCTCAGCACAGACACAGGGACCTGGACTCATACTCACCTGAAAGTGCTGATTAAAACTAGTAGTTGTCTTTCATCACTGAGTGTGAATAGGGAATGACTTGTTCAATTTTCTGCCTCAGTCAGGAATTTTTTGATCCTAGAACCACAATCAGTATTGGCTTTAATACACCTAACCCTTCAAAAAGGTGATTGAAGCAAAGAAATATTACATGGGCATTTCTCTTCCCCCTAACTGAAAGCTGGACTAGGATGCCACAGGGTTTTAGTGAGTTCCAGCTGGCCTCATGTATAATTTGAAAGTATGATCAGAGGATCACCTGCTGGCTTCCTCCCCGCTTCTGTCCTGCAGTGTTCATCCTTAGTCACCTGCCCTTGGTGAAACCCATGGCTGGGTGATTCACCAAATTTTCATAAACATAGTCCTTCCCACTACCCCATGAGAGGCACTAAGCTTGGATTTGTGGTAAAAAGAACTCAAAGGGGGCAGCGCCTGTGGCTCAAGGAGTAGGGCATCAGCCCCCAAAGCTACATCAGTCATCTTACTAAACGATAGACTTAAAAGCAAATCAAAGTCATTATCAGAGTCTACTGTGCAAAGTTCTGTGTGTACCTGGGTCTCTCCAAGAGTGGGCCCAGACTAGAAGCATTAGCATCACCTGAAAACTTATTAGAAATGCAAATTCTGGCCAGGTAAGGGGCTCATGTCTGTAATCTCAGCATTTTGGGAGGTAGAGACAGAATTGCTTGAGGTTAGGAATT